GGAGAGGATATCTGTGTCTCGGTAAGAAAAAGCAAGGCCGGCTTGGCCGTCCGGAGATGGTAATGAACGGCCTCCAAGTTGGAGTGGAGTCCCCTGATATTGCAGAGGTCCACCGCGTGGGTGGCAGGGGGTGGAAGTGCCTGGCCTCGTTTGCCCCGGCCTCTACAGCGAGCGAGCGGAATGTTGCCCCCCCCAGAATACGCAGGGCGGCCCGCGCGCTTACCCCCAGACTCCAAGCGAGAGTTCAGGCGTAAGCGCGCGGAGGGGGATTCTCCAAAACCAGGGGTTTTGGTACCCCCCTGGGGTACTTTCTCTTTTAATCCCACTGCCATGCTGTATTAAAGGGGGGGGGGAGGTTGGGCCTCCGGGACCACACTCATCAGACGAAACGCGGAATTTCTTCCACTTCACGCCTGTTTTCTGTGTGGTGGTGGTATTTCACCGGGCGAACCTGGCCAATTCGTGCGAAGATGTTAAAGCGGGTTCTACCACACTTAGTTCCAATTGGATAACTTTTAGCAATATTTTTTTTAATATCATAAGATGGCAAACGAGCGAACTGCTACCTGAAAGCGCCGAAATAGCGACCTTTGCCCACAGACATACGCAATTGCTTATGCGTTGCCGACCTTTAATCGAAGGAGGGATGCACAGAAAGAGAATATTTGCCCTTCCCGGTATGCACACTTAACAGACGAAACGCGGAATTGCTCCCACTTCACGCTTGTCTTCTGTGAGGCATGTATTTATGGGGAGTGAGTTTAGTGCGGAGAAGTTGATCAATTCTGAGGTGTGCCTTAGCTAAACCACTTGATACTAAAACCTTTTCTTTAACTGTTCAGACATACGTGGCGATGGAATTCCCTTTTTCAATAATATATAGTAATTAACACTGTACTTTAATAATAATACAACTGTGTACGTATTAAAGAAAAAAAATTACTTAATATGTCAACTGTAGCTTACTGACAATATTGGAAAGACTTCAAGGTCGTTTACTTGTAATAACCACTTCTAATATATCTGTTTAAGGAAAATGAGTTCTATACTATTGTGATAAGGAGCTTTTATATCGTGTGTAATCCGGTTAAATCTCAAATGACACGTCACTATTTTTGCCTCAATGGGTTTAACCCAAACCCTGGGAGAGGATGCAAATTATGACGTATTACGTCGCTGCGGACTATGTCATATGACGTTAAGTCATTTTATCTGAATCTTGGATTAACAGGATAGCATTCAACAAATTACAGTCATTTATTTTTTCGTAGTGTTTGTTTGTGTTTGGTTTAATTACTTATCTTAGCATTAATGTCTGTTAGTATTGACCAATTAATAATTTGCCTGCTATTAAGTCTTAAATCCTTCAGAGCAAGAATAATATAAAACATAGATTAATAAAAATATGTGAGTCTAGTTTCAACTGTAGGTATGCCAATAGTGTAACGGACATTTTGGGGCGTGTTTAAGTTTTGCAGACCACAAACGTGAGATGTCCCTTTTAAGGTGTTCAATGTGAGTTCGTCGAACTGAGACTAAGATATAATTTTCCTTCTACGCCTCTCTGACATCATACGGTCCTCTAAAGGACAACTGTGAATATTTTAATAAAGAATTAGACAATTATTTTCATCATGGCGAATACAATGATAAGGCTATACGTTCGTTAGCATAAAACAAATGAAACATTCCTTTTTGGTAGATTTTTAAACACTAAATGATATATACTTGTAAAGCTAATTTCCTTATTAATATTAAAAAAACAAATGGATTTATGAATCATAACGGCAAATAATGCAAAATATGTTATCAAAACATGGTTTAGTCGAAGATATATATCAAAAAGAAATTCAAACATTTCAATTAAAGGCCCAAGTATTTTAGAATTGCACTCGCATGGCAATAAAAACTTAAAATATTGGCAATTTATTTGTCCGCGATGACATCCAACTGATGCATTACCATGAACACAGCGCGTTTAAAAACCTATTACTCTCAACACGGAATCGAAATGAATCCTCAATTTGTTTAAAAAAGGAACATAAATAAATTATGCAATACATTCGATTATTAATAAAGGCCCCGCCTTACCGAATGAAGAAAAACGAGTACCAACATTAAAATTTCTTACCATTACTTGAAACAATAAGTATAGTTACCTTTTATATACGAGCACATTTAATTATTTTTTAGATAAATAATACGTATATTCGAAAGGTATCTTAGTGCCATTTGGATCTGATTTAATTATAACTTAAGTAATTAGCATCGGTGGCTCAGGGGTTAAGCACTTGTCTTGCAATCTGCAGGTCCTAGGTTCGAATCACGCCATGTACCAATATGTTTTTCTATTACCGATTTGCATATGTACATTTATCCGACGTTCTTAAGGCGAAGGAAAGTACGTGATGCAACCTGCACATATCTAAAAAGAATTCAAAGATATGAATGAAGTCAACAGACCCGCACTGGGTCAGCGTGGTTAAATATAGCGTAGTCACTTCTGACTTTAAGGTAGGCTCCTGAGCCTC